ACTGTTAAAGAAATGCTAAACAACGTTGCCTGTGATGACGTCACGAGTACGCTTCTGCTCCAATACACATACGTGCTTGCGTGCTCGCGTTCTCGTCAAGTCCGATCTTCCTGCGTTCTCACCAAGAAACGACTTGACGAGAACGCGAGTACGTACTCGCGTTCTCGTCAATTGAGAAACGCCGCTAGTCTTCGTCTGGATGTCTAAAACTCACACTATGTTGATTTCATCCCCATCTTGTCATGGACAAAATCAACACCTACACACAAGTGTTTTTAAAATGTAAGAAACCGACTGCTCTTAACCACTTCATATGATCCCCGAAACAAAGAAGCACAACTTTTTTTTTTCTAATAAACCAAATATTGTCCTCTAAAGCTGAACCATTTAAGTTCTTTTCTTAGAAAAAAAATAAGGACAAAATTAAGCAGGTCTACTAGACACCAGAGCAGCTCAATGTTTTGTTCATAACAGAGATGAGTTAATAAACTCCAGGGTTTCTTTCAAATATGTAAAGCTGCTTTAGGCAACATGGAAATTTGCTCCTGTCTTTGGATCCATGTCCCAAGTCCAACTGCACAGATAATTATGCAATCCAGCTCATTTCAGATCCTTCCTTACCAGTTTATGCTAATATAATCAATAATATATTCCTTACTTTCCTAACTAGGTGTTTTAAGAGTTTTTTTATTTGATAATCCTGATTAAGTTTAATATTCTGACAAGATATAAATAGCAGCATGAAGCAAAAAAAAGAAAAAAAGATTAATGAAGATACTTTGACTGATATTTATTTTAAAAGAGGTCCAAGAAGAGATCCCGCTGCGCTCAGTTCTGTTCTGTGGAATGAACCTGGAGGAGACGGGTTTTAAGGCCCATTTATGCTTCTGATGCATAGCCTCTGCAAATGTCAAATCCGTCTCTGTGCCAAAAATCCTGAGTACGCGTCAGAGGGTGGCAAACCTCAAGCGGAAGTGCGCAGACAAAAAGCAGCTATGATTGGTCATTGGTTTGCCTTTCCGGCTGCCTGTTTGGTCGCCCTTCTCGATTCGGTGCGATCCCTAGAAGTTCTCGCGTGTTCTCGAATAGTCCCCCCTTTGTGCTTTGGCGGGAAACTGCTTTACGTCCCTAGAAGTTCCAGGCCGACGGTGCAGAAGCATATCAGCAAAACTGGTTCTTGACCAGACCCAAGCAGCATTAGATGTGTGCGGTTGCAGAAGTATAACCTGCCCTTTAGAAAACCATTAACTTCTCATCTTTCGGTCAAACACTAAGTCCACGTCTCTGAACCTGATGACCTCCTTTAAACACAGACAGATAAACCGCACACATAGAACATCTTAGAAGACAAAGTACAGATTAACTCGGTGTTTCACTGCTTTCCTCTGAGCTCAGTAATGGTACACTGTGTCTAAACACATTGCTTTAAATCCAAACTAAAAGAAGTCACTCTTTTAGTTTTTTGAATCACTTATCAGAGAGGGTTTTTTTGTTTAAAAAATAAATAAAGAGTAAGATTTGGCTATGAAAATGGTTTTGTTTCCATCAGTACTGAAGGAACGGACATGACAGGCCAGACTAGTTTAGAAACCCATAAACATAACCTTAGTTCATCCCGTTGGCACAGAATCAGCTTTAACATGTCTTCTTGGAAGACTAAGCCATCATTAAGATGGTGGTGTTCCTCTGCTCAGCTCTTGTCCTGCTGTCGGAACCACATGTTGGCCAGACCAAGGCTGGACTTCTGGGAAACCAGTGGGCTGCAGCCAAAAACAAAACCTCACAGGATTGTCCAGACATTTAAATGAATGAGTGATTCTTTTTAAAAACTTTATTTAGGTTGTGATGGTCACATGTTCAGTAACCCCACACAACCATTTTTTCACGTTTTAACACACAGTGGCATAAATGTATTGGTTTGTTTATTTTTATTTTGACAATATTAGAAGACATTAGCTCTAATTGTAGCGTGCAGATTTGGTTAACATTTGTTTATTTCATTTTGTTAAATGCTTAATATTGTTTGTGCTTCCTTTTCTGGTGTTGTGGGAGAATGCAAAGGACTCTGGCTGGCATACTCATTGCTTATTTTGTTCATTTTGTTTAGTAATAGTAATTTAAAATGAATCCTTAAGCTAACTGTTTAGTTATTTGTTGTTAAATATGTGTAGATGTTCTTCCTAACTCTTCCTCAGTGTGTCAGTCTGCTCTGATCAGCCAGTATTTAAGTCCCCTTTGTTTGTGCAGTTAGTTTGAAGTTGTATGTTTAACTTTGATATTTTTGCCCTAAGTTAGTCTCTTGATTTGACCTCTTTTAAGGGCCTTGTAATCCTTGTTTGGATTGTTTTTACTTTGGGGAAATAAAACCCATTTTGTTGATAATCAGCACCCGGTCCCTAACATAGGTTAAAAAAAAAAAGGACAACAAGTGGAAAAAGTATTGATAACCCTTTGCATTTCTCACATATTTATTACACAATAATACCACTAATTCTTGCTAGCGTGGGATTTATGTGTAATTAGAATTATTTAAGACAAAATTTAAATAAAAAACAAAAGCAAAACCATCCTGTTTTAGATCTTTTTTCCTTTTAACCCCATTTTGTTCAAAAGTTTCTTCTTCAACTCTAGTGTTTGCTAACCCTTTAGGTTTAATAGGACTCATGTTTAACGGTGATCCAAGGAGCTTCAAATAAACTACATCCAGTTTTTAGCTTGTGGCATAAAATGAAGATTGAGAGAAATCTTTAGCACGACGGCCACTTTGCTCAAGTGTTTTTGCATGTAAAACCTTTGAGCTTTGCAGTCCAGCTGACTGTCCTGATGTGGTCAGGGGGGTTTCTTATGAAAACAAAGCTGCTTTTGTTTCCTGAGGCCACATGATGATGAGCAAATAAAGGGATCTGGTGATTTTTTAATCAGCATAGGATGAAGATTGATGGTCTTTTGTAATGCTTTGCGTTTAAGGAAGGAAAGGGTTGTCAGAAACCACCAGCCACAGTGGTACTGGGAATTCCACACGCTCTTCACCAACCTTACAAAGCCCGGTTGAACAGGCTTTGTCCAAACAACCCCTAACATTACAAAGAAAATATTAGTACCTGTATCTTTCTGCGGCACATTTCCCCTACTCTCTACAGAGAAGCAGTGGCGCGTAGCAATACCCCACTATCTTAAAGAGACAGTACAAATTACAGCTGTTACATGTGCCAACTTCCTCATGTGTTTGAACATGTATGAAGCTGTAAAACACAGAGGGCCTCGGAGCTTCTTTGATACCATGAATTGACTGAGCATCCCGATGTTACTTGAGGACACAACACTGACCTGTGTGATTGGAAAACTGCACAGAGTTGATGGAGTCCACCTCAAAGCCCAGCACCTGGAAAAACAGGAATGGAGCAGCTGTGAAAAGAGAAAACAATAACATCTCCACAAACGCTGATCCCAATAGGCGTCTCTGTTACACTGAACAGTGAGAACAGCAGGAAGGAGGATCAAGTTCTGTTTTCCCTCCAAAAGGTGATACCAGGAGAGGCCGCTAACGCAAACGTACAGTAAATGGATCAACAACGGGACTGGGAAACTATCTTTTTAGAACAATTTAAGCCCAGCCAAGACCAAGGTCTGCCTTTAATACAAAATCTTTAATGTTTCAAAGTAGATATCATGTTGAAAATAACATTTTCTTTTAGCTTTTAGCTCAGTGGGAACCCAGCACTGGTTCAGAACCTTTTTAAATTGTTTGCCGTTTTGTGTTATTAAATAGAAATTTTGTTATTCATTAAAAGGCTGCAAGAAACTAAAGAGTTAAAGACTTAATTTGAATAAATTATAATTATTTTTTGCATATAGAATTAAATTAAATTTTCTAAAAAGCCGAACTGAGAAGATCTGTCATTTCAAAACTTTCCGTTTGCAGTGATTTACAAAAACTTAAATTTCGTGATGTATTTATTTAATCAATGATACTGACAATTCGAATTTCAATGCATTTCATTTGGAGTTCATTAAATATACAGATCGACAGTAGAATGCAAGTGAAATAGGCAGAAAGATTAGCCGATTACAAATCAAAATCTATAAAAAAGCATGACGTGCACTCGTGTTAGCCTCCAATAAACCTCTTAAAAATAAAAACTGAGCTAAATACAAGCAGCTCCTCTATGAAGGCCTCAGCGATTTGTTAGAGAACATTAGTGAGCATCATGAACACCAAGAGTCCCTCTGAAAAATCCATCATCTTAAAATGAAAAGAGCGAAGCATGTCTAAAACCCACCAAGATGTATCCGACAGTCAGACAAGGACAGCTTTAATCAGAGAAGCAGCAAATAGATCCACAGCTCAGAAACATGACATCTACTAGTCAGTCAATGTAAAAAAGTTGTCCTATTTTTTGCAAGCATGGGAAGAACAGAGACATTTCTGAAGACACTCGGAAAAGCTCCCATCTGCAGTTTGCCTTGTTTCAAAGCAATGAAAATAATGTGAAAGAAGCTGCCCCCATCAAATGATACAAATATAGTGGTTAGGGCATAGGGCCCAGTTCCACAGACTGCCACTCTGGGTCTCTGAGCAAGACCCTCAATCCCTGATTGCTCCCCGGGTGCTGCACAATGGCAGCCCACTGCTCCCCAAAGAGAAGTGGTTAAATGCAGAGAGTTAAATTCTCCATTGTGAGATCAATAAAGTTAAATTTATTTATTTATTTAAAGCTGTTTGGATGGAGCCAAACATGAGATGTCTCTGGCCCTTTATTTCCCCAATTAGAGGCTGCAAAAAAAACAAAAAAACTATGGCAAGAACTAAGCTTGCAACAACACAACACACACACTGCAATGGATGGTTTAGATCAGGGGTCGTCAAAGTTTTCCAGGCCAAGGACCCCCAAACTGATGTAGAATTGGAGCGGGGACCCCCTAATTACATATTATGTATCAAAATTTGTTATATCAAACTGGTTCTACAGTCACTCTATTACAAAAGTAATTCCTCCCTAGGATTATTAAAGTATTTCTGATTCTACTCCTCTTTGATGGGACAGGTGTTGTGAATGAAACAGTGCCCAGCTTAAAAGAGCTCCTGTGCGTCGCTGAATTTGTGCATTGAGGACTGGAAGACATCTTCTGTGTCCATTTATCTGTTTACTACAGTGTGTTGAATTCATGTTAAAGTGTATTTAAAGACATTTCAATTAGTGAAAAAAATTGCAGGAGGGAATATAAAAAAAAAAAAAGTCTAATCAACCAAAACTTTAGCGACCCCCATGCAATACCTCTGTGGATCCCCTGTTGAAGACCTCCGGTTTAGATCACAGTCATGTGCTAAAATGGACCAAAGTCCAGCTCTAGATCTAATGAAAAATCTATCACAAGACTTGAAACTGTGTGTAAATTGTCATTTTCCATCTAACTATTTGGAAACACAGACATCCTGTCAACCTTTAAGGGTAAACTTTCCTTTAATATAAAGTTTTAATTAGAGTGTCTCAGGTTATCCTGAGCTATCTCTATAGTTATGCTGCTATAGGCTTAGACTTCTGGAGGACATAGGGACCCCTATTTCATCATTCTATCTCTATTCTTCCACTCTGCAGAATCTGTTAGTTTAATCTCTAATGCTATACTCTCTCTGCTTTTTCTCATAGTAGCTTCACCTCATCTGTTCCTGTTTGGCTGTAACTCCATCCTGGTGAGAAATACCAGCTGTGCTGCTGCCATCAACACCTTTGTTTATATATGTTGGAATTTGGCCTGTTTTTTCCAGTGTCCTGTTTCTCTGACTGTGACTGGCTAGATGTGTTCTTTTTATCCTCTGACATGGGAGCTGGCTCGGAGCTTGTCTGCCTGGCTGTGTGTTTCCTAGACGAGGCCACCTTTTACAGTTGCTTTTTGTGTCTCTTTTTCTGTCTCCTTGAACCCCAGTCGGCCTCAGCAGATGGCCGCTCATACTGAGCCTGGTTCTGCTGGAGGTTTCTTCCAGTTAAAAGGGAGTTTTTCCTCTCCACTGTCGCTACAAGCACTCTTAGTGTGAGGGATTGCATTCAAGTCAATGAGTCGATGCAATCAACTGGTTTTCCTTATATAGAAATTTGAATCAATTTGACTGTATGATCTGGTGAACTGTAAAGAGCCTTGAGATGAAATGTGTTGAATTGGCGCGATAGAAATAAACTGAATTGAATTGAGATTCAGTTGTTTTACAAAAGAGAAGCAAAAATATGGAAACAGTGGAAAGGCTAAAGAAGACATTCACTACAAGACCTGCAGCTGTCAACTGAAGCAAGGGAGCAGAATACAAATGTACAGAACAAGTATTATATTTACACATATTTTCATACTAATTAGGTCCCAATAAAACATAATTGGTCTTTTAAAATGAAGAAAATGTTGAAAAGTTTAAAAGGGATGAAAACATTTACAGATTAACCTTATAAAAAGTGAAAAATCTATTATCTCCACATTAATTTCATACAGTGAAGAGAACCTGTCTGGATCATTAAACCGTTCTGTGATAGAAAGTCATAGAATTCATTAGTTTAAAGTCGCTTCTAAAAGCAAACATCTTCTGTAAATGAAAAGTGGTGACAGGAGCAACGGTTTTTAACCTCACCTGTAAAGGAAATGTTGCAGACTTGTTCCCCACGTAACCCCTGACAACATGACTCTGGATTGACAAGATCCGACACTCCATGACAGTATTTTTAAAAACACCCGAGGGAGATTAATGAAATCAAACCAAAAACAGAATTTAAAGCTCAGTGAAATGCTAAAAGTTAGCAAATTAGTGGTCCGCCATTGAAGGACACAAGCCGACGCCGTTTACGATGCTGAGGCTGGTAGCAGCTTTTTTTCTTCAGGCAGCTAAAGGGACACCTAAAGTGAGGCGTTCAAGGAGTCGGAAGAAATGGGAACTTAGACACAGACAGCTTAAAGCTACAGATCAGGATAATTGAATTGCGGTTTTGGTTAAGGTTATAAGGATTAATTAATAACATCCGCGTCTTCACTTTGTATGAATTCGGATCTTAGAGGGGCCTGAAGTTAACCTCAAATACGTAAAAACCCAAATGCTTTTTCTTTCTTTCTTTTTTTTTTTTTTACTTTAAAACTAAATACTTTATCTTTGCATTTTTATTTTATAAAGTAACATCTGATTATTCATAAAATAGTGCTTAAAAATCACAATGTTCCACCAGTAATCTTCCTGTGTAACACATTCCAATAGTAAAAAGAAACATATAATGAACAATAAAGTGATGTTTAAAATAAAAGCAGTCTAGCCTCTTTAAGTGACCATATTTTAATGCTTTTAAAACTCCCTTACCTTTTTTTTATTAGGTGTTTATCAGGGCTAAAACTTCTATACATGTTTCATTTTTGGGCCGTGTTTATCCAGAATATCTTTTTTTTGTTGCACACGCACAGCTTCCAACCTTAATTGTCATGTAAATAACCATGTAACATGTTTAAATGTTATTAAAATACCATTTGCATTTAATACAGAGATTTTTCAGATAACGGTGCATTGGTAACTGTACTACCGGTACATGTGATTTTATATCAGCTACACAGCTGTGTATTGTGTAGCCTTTTTTTTTCACAGCTTGCAAAGCTGTATTATAGGTCTTCCACCTTATTTTGGTCAAACAAATCTGAGCTTTTTCTACAAATACAGCTGGTTTCAAGGTTTACATTGATACCCACAGTGAAAGACAGACAAGTCATACTTCCGCAGCTTCATTTCAGTCAGGAAAACCTTTCTCAACTGTCTCTGCACATCAACTGGACTGGAACTGCAATGAAATTTGTATGATCAAAGAGTCATATTGAAGCAAGCTTGAAAAATTCAGTCTAGGCAGCTGGACATGGTTTTCTAGAAGATGTTTGCAGGGCTGCCAACTTTTCACCAAACCTTGGGGTGAGATTTTGAAATAGTTTGGACAGAAAACCCTGTCAGGGTTAGATAAGGATAGGTGCAGCTATAGGTTGGAGGTTTTCAGAGGATTTAACTGAAGCAAAGTGGAAAAATGTGGAATTTTTATTGCACAGTAATGTTACTGAGTAATAATAAGTGGTCTGTAGTTATGTGGAACATTTTTCTCACAATATCCATTATTTTCTACATTCTGGTGATTTTTAGAGAATTGAAATAAAGCAGAATGAGCCCCACCAAAATACTTACATCTTAAAAAAACTTTAAACAAGGGAACTTCACAACTTTGTTCATTAATTATTCTATGCAATTCATGTCAATTAAACAATGGGGAACTAATAAGTTATCACTGGATTACTGGCACTGAAACAGGAACCAGTGCAATCGAAAGCTATGCAAACTTCACTGTATATGAATATTTGGTAATAGGCTAAGGATTAAAAGCTTCATTCATTATGTTATTAGCTTGTCTTACAATTGACAAAACAGCTAAACAATTCAGACCTTCTAGGAGGCTGTATATTTTAGAAAAACTCACCATGACAGGAGACAGCATTTCTCTGGATGTTTCAGTTTGGAAGGTGTGATGGAAATTAAATTTTAAACATAATCAAAGGACCAAAATAAAGATAAATGAATAAAATAAGTAATAATAAAAGAAGAGCATCCCTGTTGTTTCTCCTTTATGAATCCAGGATAACTGAGATGTTCTGCACATCTTCTCTGTATGTGTTTGGTCTTTTTTGGGATGCTGATCTTTTGAAAAATAAATTGCAATGGCTCTTTTTCTTTTTGTGGAGCTCCTATGGGTTTGAGAGGCAAACCTGAAAGCTTTAAGAATGAAAATATTTGTGTGTTTTTTTTTATTACTCCTAAATGCAAACGGGAGATTATTAAACTAGACTAAGCAATAATTATTTAACTTGTGAGCAAAACAAGGATTAAAATTGGGACTAAAAAAAGCACCAGGTAAAGAGAAAACAAACCATTGGATGTGATCCTACACTCAGTCTCCACTTCAATACTTTAAGCAAGCTGATGTATTTTTTAATCATATTTACCCAAGTACAATATTGCTTAAAATCTTCAATAATTCACAAATAGAATTATCCTAGTGCACATGAGATAAGATAAAAATAAAAATAACATACCTCATAGCAACTGTCTTTTTTCAACATCTGGCACAGTGAATAGGTGGGAATACGGACTGGATGTGAACCTGGCAAGTCCTTGTGGTTTAGCACTAAGGTTGTATTAAAAACGCAGACTGGATTTTGATCACCATGGTATTTTATGCATAAATAGGTGGAACGGAGTTGAGTTTTAATCTCTGTCATTTTTTTAGTGTGAGAAATTGGGAATATGGAGTGAGAGTGTTTCAAGACATTGAGATGGGTGAGTCTCACTCCCAATGGGTGAGAGTTGACAGCCGTGCGTTTGGTCTCTCATCCAAGAGGCGTCCCCATTACTAACTGATGGAGGGGAGCACTGAGATTAATATTAATATACTGGAGGTCTAACAAAGAATTCGGGGGGAAAAAAGAGGGCTTTTTTTCTTCTGTTAATGATCGTTAACACGCTGTCTTGTGTTTAGTTAGAAGTGAAGAAGCCGCTTGGATGAGAAGCAAAAAGTCTTCACATCCAGTTGCTTAAACTGAACTTTTTCAAGCTTCACCATGATGACTGAGAATCTTCAAAGAATCTGAAACAGGCTGCCAACATGCTAACTGCAGCTTAGCGCTTTAACCAATTACTTTGCATGAAACCATTGTCAAGTTAGTAGCACTATGTGTAAAGTCAGATATATATCTAGATTTTTAAAAATTGTAGGTAACATATTTTTCTTTAAAAGATTACAGTAGTTTTATGATGGCAGTCCTATAAAAACTCTGGTTAGGTTTAATGTGGTGGCAGATTGGGACGTGGTTTTTGCAATTAAATGTCTTAGTCAGATATCTGAAAACTGGTCAAAAGTCAAAAGTTTTTAATCAATACTCTCCGAAAAACAGAAACTGAAATTACCTGGGATATTATCCACATATATAGAGTGATTTACAAATAACTGTGTTTTGTAAAAGACAAATATTGCAACCATTATTACATAATGCTGTGCAACGAACGGTCATGCAGTTTTAAAATCAATGGACCTTCTGATTTGCAGTATTAAAACGTCCCTGAGGATTAATTATCCTCACCTTTCGGCTTCTAAAGCTTTATCTGTGTTTGATTGCAATTCTCTTATTAAGCAGCAACAGAGTGTTTGCTATGACAAAGTTTACCCAAAGGCTGCTACCAATATGCTTAAAAATAAATAGAAGGAAGTTGCACAACAGTTAAACTCAAAACCGTTATGTACTGAACATGCAGGCAACATTTTTATTGTGTAGATTGTTACTCGGAAAAAGTGAAAACAGTGCTACTGCTTAACATTTACAAAACATACGTTTGGGATAAAAAAAAAAATAAATAAAAAAAATAAATAAATATATATATATATATATATATATATATATATATATATATATATATATATATATATATATATATATATATATATATATATATATATATAGTGACTTGTAAAGGAGCCTTTCCTTTTTATAAATTTATTTTATATCCACTCATTTAAAAGTGCTTTATTGGGATTTTATATTATAGACCAACACTAAAGAGTGGAAAATTGTTTAGTGAAAAATAGATAATGCATTTTTAATTTAAAAGGTGTTGCATACATTTGTGTTCAGGCCTTCTTAAGACGTCACATTGCAGAACCACCTTTCACTGCAGTTAAAGCGACAAGTCGTTTGCTTCTGCCAGATCTGCACATCTGGAGACCGACATTTATCACCAATTATCACCAATACTTTTTTATAAAGTAGGACCAGCTCAGTCAAATTCAATGGAAGATGTCTGGAAAATATAAATTTTCAGGTTTTGGCCAAAATGATAGGATTCAGGTCTGAACCTTAATGTGACATTTTAAAGCACATTTCTTGAGCTAAATCATTTAGTTCTGTAGGCAAGAAAGTTCACACATGTGGTATCATCCTTACCCCCTTGCGTATCTCTGTCTCCTACATAGCTTGTAGAATGTATGAACCTGAAACATCTTTCAACAGTAGTTTTATTTCTTTGCCACGCTCCAATAAACGTCAGATTTCTGATCAGATCTTCCCACCAAAGCAGATGACTTTTGCAGCTGTTCCAGTCATCATGGTCCTGCTTACCTGCTCAATGCTCCTTCTATCCCTTCCATCAGAGGGATGGGCATGTATTCAATCATTTGCACACTAATTCACGTCACAAACCACTCCTCATTTTTTCTCCATCAAAATACTCAGATGAAATTTAAATTCTGTAAATCTTAAATAAGTCACGTCACACAATCTCTACATTCATAAAATGAAGTAAAACATTTTGTTCAACCCTGAATGAAACAAAAAAAAAATATTTTTATTAAAAACCAAAATATTCATTTTTCAGCAGTTTTTTAATGCTTATAATCAATGAAAAAGTATATATATTTTTTATTTAAGTCTAAAATTAAAAACTATTGTGTTGTATTGTTGATGACCACTAGAGGGCGCAAGAGAACAGAGATACACTACATGCTTCAGAGAAAAAAATACTAATACTAATAATAAACCTTAAATGTGCTCATTGCAAGTGTAGAGTGCACTTAAAAAAGCACAGGGGATAATTTTTCATGCGTTTATTATTTATCAGATAGGAGCATTAATCATGATTTGAAGTAAACCTGTTTTATTGAACAAGTCAGCCTCTTTAAAAGCATCAGAGTTGATTTCTATGGGTCTTTGTCCTTTATTCAAACACTCATTCACATGGGTGTAGCTTTGCGTTCACCTGACGACCGTGTGCAAAGAAAGCACTTGATGAGTTTGAGGCACCTTT